TCTTCCATGTAAAGTATCATGTCATCTGCAAATAGTGATAATTTTACTTCTTCCTTTCCTATCCTTATTCTTTTTTCTTTCTCACTCTTGTCTAATTGCTCCGGCTAATGGTTGCAGAACTATATTGAACAGAAGTGGTGAGCACAGACATTGTCTTGTTCCTGATTTTAAAGTAAAAGCTTTCAGTTTTCATCCATTTAATATGATGTTGGCTGTTAGTCTGTCACAGATGGCTTTGCTCAGATTGAGATAAAGACTATCTATTCTTATTTTCTGTAGTGTTTTTGTCATGAATGCATGTTGGACTTTGTCAAAACTTTTTTCTGCTCTATTAAGATTATCACTTGGTTTTGGTCTTTGGCTCTATTGATATGTTGTATAACATTAATTTATTTGTGAATACTGAACCAGGCCTGCATTCCTGGAAAGAATCCGACTTGCTCATGGTGTATGATTTTCTTGATGATTTGCTGCATTCTATTTGCTAGTATTTTATTGAGTATCTTTGCATCTATATTCATTAGGGAGATTGGTCTGTAGTACTCTTTCTTGGTCGGGTCTTTCTCTGGTTTTGGTGTCAGTACAATACTCGCCTCCAGAAATGAGTTAGGGAGAATTGCTTCCTTTTCCATTTCATTGAAGAGTTTGAGGAGTGTTGGTATTAAATCTTCTCTGAATTGCCTGTAAAATTCTGCTGTGAATCCATCAGGGCCTGGGCTTGTCTTTGTGGGTTAAGTTTTTAATCACATTTTCAATCTCATAAATTGATAATTCGGTTGCTCAGGATTGTTATATCTTCATGATTCAAATTTGGCAATTCGTACATATCTAGGAATCTGTCCATTTCTTCTGAGTTTTCTATCTTACGGGAGTCAAGATTTTCAAAGTATTACCAATCTTTTGAATTTCTGTAGGATCTGTAGTAGTGATTTCATCCTTTTCATTCCTTATTGCATAAATACCAGTTTTTTCCTTTCTGTTTTTGATAAGGTTGGCTAGAGGGTTATCAATTTTATTTATTCTTTCA